CCAGGGGTGCTCTTCCACAGAGTGACAGCCCTTTCTAGTTTTAAATTTTGAGACAAGGTCTAGCTAAGTTGTAGAGGCTGGCCTTGAACTTACAATCTTCCTGCCTCAGCCTCCTGAGTCATGGGATTACAGGCCTGTACCATTGCACCCAGCTCCTATTCTTTGACTATTGCAAAATTGGGATTTTTTTTTCCTCACGTCCTATCCATACGGCTGTAATTGCTACTTGGAAAAAATTTGTTGAGTGACTACATGACCCTGACTAGTTGCATAATCCCTTTGAGCCTCAGTTTTCTCAGCTGTGAAACGGTAGCAGCATAGGCCGTGCAGGGTTGTAAGCATGTGGCATGTGGTTAGCGCCTGTGAGGCACATTGGCCACCGTCCCTTAGCTCCTGTGAACTGATAACCAGGCAATCCCTTTTAGGACTGGCAGTTCCAGCCACTGGCGCTAGGTGGCGATAGTTCCCAAGCCAGTAGTTCTCAAAGTTGTGTCCTGACCCCGCAGCCTCAGCCCACCTGGGAACTTGTTACAGCCCCCCATCCTGGGCTGCACCCCCACACCTAAACCCAGATAACAAGCGCACAGGCTCCGGGGTCTGCCTGGCCTGGCCTGCATGGTGACTCTCCCACCCTCAGGGTGACTGGGTAGGATGGGGAGGGGGCTGGGTGTGCTCCTGCAGAGCAGGCCCCTTGCTTCTCTGAGCCGTGGCTGAGACGGCCCATCTGATCAGCCTTCCACTCTGTCCTCCTCAGTGATCCATCCTCCCTGCCCTGGCTCTAGCCACACTGTGCCCTCCTCCACGGCCCCTAGTCCTTGTTCTTTTGAACCTCAGTTTCCTCTTCAGGTTCCTTGACACCTCTAAAATGGTTTGCTCTTCTTGCAACTAGAAATATCAATCAGCTTCCTGGAGCCAGGTAGGGAAGGCGGGATCAGATATAGCTCTGGCTTGGGAAAAGACCAACGACTGTTAGCCACAATGGAATCCAAGTCCCCAGAGAAGGAGGAAGTAGTCTGTGGCTAGTCCTGTGTGGTTGTAGTGAAGGCCCCTGCTCAGTCTTGGGCAAAGAATAAAGGACATCTCTGTTTTTCAGGACCCATGCTCTTCTGGGTGATCATGGTGCTGGTTCTGGTGGTTGGTTCCACCTTCTTCCTCCTGTGTCACCAGAGGGCCTGCAGGAGGCGATTTCGGCAGAGTGAGTGGAGGTGTCCTTGGGGACCTGGGGAGGATGCTCGCTCTGGGCCAGCTTGGCCGGGGTCCCTGCCTGTCCCGTGCTCTGGGACCCGTGCCCATCCCTCTTCCTGATGTCGTTTCAGAGCTCCACCTGTGCCACCCAGCCCAGCCCTTCCCGCCCAAGCTGGAGCCTGTGGGTAAGTGTCCCACAGTCCCCCCTGGGTCTGGGCTCGGGAGACTGGCCTCCTCCCAGCCCAGCCCTGGCCTATCTGTACGGCCTCCCGGGGCCGCCCCTCCTTTCTCTCCAGCCTCATCTCTAATGGGGATGGTCATTGGTTGTGCGGGGCGGCTGGTGTGGACCAAGCAACCGTGTCGCTCACCCTCCCGCCTGGCCCCCTGGCTCCTGGCCCCATGTCTCTCACCCTCCCGCCTGGCCCCCCCCCTGGGTCCCTGGCGTCCCGACTGCCCCCCTTCCTGCCCTCCTGGGCAGACCCTGGTGGGGCCCAGGTGAAGAGGGCAGCCTGCAGGCCGAGCCCAGCTCCGTGGCCTTGGGGAGTTGCCTAGTGCCTGTGCCTCAGTGTCCTCGCCACTGGGAAGGCTGCATGGAGGGAATCGGGTGGCCTCCTGAGCGCGGCGGAGCCAGGCCCACGGGCAGCACTCGGTTGATCGCTGGGGCCTCTTCCCACAGGAGTCCAGGCCTCCCGGGTCCCAGGTGGCTTGACCCCTCCCTGGTCCACCCAACCTCTAGGCTGACCTTCCAGGCAGCAGTCAAGGCTCCTGACCCCTCCCCACCCCCTGGCAGGGTTCCTGCACTTTCACTGGGACTGGGTCTCCTCATGCCCAGGGCCCCCTGGGTCATCTCGTACCCAGGGCCTCGTCTCCCTGGGCAGCCTCTCTGGGCGAGGTCCTCCTTAGCACTCCATTGGCATCAACTGGGCACCTACTGTGTGCAGGGCCCTGACTCTTGGGCTCTGCATAGACTGGGGAATTGCCTTGCTTTCTGGCTTATGAGGCAGCTTCCGGTGACCTGGAGGTGGTCGATCCACAGGGAGGAGGTGAGGCTCGGAGGGTGGGGGACTCCTGGCCGGGGCACTGCTCCCTGGGGATTCTGTCCAGCTGCTGTAGGGGCCTCAGCGCTGCCTGCTCCTTCCTCCCCTCAGCTCTGTCCACCACCCAGTGCCCACCCAAGAGCCCAGTGGTCCAGAGACACAGTCACTGCCCCTGTCCCAAGAGTCCCCCAGGACCCTTGGGAGCCTGGCAGTGGGCCGGCTCTTGACCTGGGCACAAAAACACGGTCCGCCAAGGCTGTTTTGAATCTGCCGAGTTTCCGACGTGAGCTGCGCTCCTCTGCAGGGGCTTTTTGTTTTGGTGGTTTCAAGGCTGTTTCCGTGAGCTGTCGGGCTCCGTGTCGCATTGAAACTGCCATTTGCTTTCTTGACATTTTTCTAGTATTAGACTTTCCATTGCTGTCAGTTTGTTTTCTTCTTTTAAACCTTCGTGAGAGCGGTTCTGCTACAAAAAGAAAAAAAAGGCCCAAAGGACCTCCCTTCCCTTAATAGGCCAGACCGGAGCCCAGACTCAGCGGGGGACAGTCTGCCTCAGGCCCTTTCTGGCCCCCCTGGCTTCCTGTGGGTCCCCCGGGTCTGGGTAACCAGGCCCGAGAAGGGAGGGGTCAGCAGGCAGCAGGACACAGGTGGCACAGACAGCGGGCGCCACTCCAGCCCCCCAGCCCAGGAGCTGCGGAGGAGCCCCCTGATATGCTCGCCGCCCGTCCATCCTGGAGCAGGCTCTGTGAGGGACGGCGTCTGTCCTGGCTCTCCAAGCTTTCAGACCAGTGTCGCTGCGGGGATGGGCCAGAGAGGAGCGGATGGGAATGTGCTCCCCACCCCAGGCACATCCGGGACTTCTCCAGGGGCGCTCTCCTTCCCTGGGGCTCACGCTCCATCCCTGAGTGGCCTCGGCATTGGCACAGCACTCCCATGATCTCCTTTGACACCTGCAGCAACCTGTGAGGCACCTACTTCCTGCAGATGAGCAGCCCAAGGTGCAGGAAGACGTGGTCACCTTGCTGAGGGCCACGTGCTTAGCCAGTCCCAGGCTGCTTTTGGGGGGTTTTTTAGTTGTAGATGGATGCAACCTTTATTTTGCTTATTTGGTTTTTTTATGTGGTGTTGGGGATCCAAACCCAGCGCCTCAAGTATTCTTGGCACGCGCTTGGCCGCTGAGCCCCAGTCCTAGCCCCAGGCTGGGTTTCTGATGTCACCCTCAGTGCCACAGAGCAGATGATTCTTTGCTGTGGGGACTCTTCTGCACGTCATAGGATGTTCAGCAGCTCACGAGATGACAGTCACATCCCCCAGTTGTGACAACCAAAAATGTCTCCAGATATTGTCACTAGGCCCCCCTGTGGGCAAAGCTGCTCCTGGTTGAGAACCCCAGGTGTAAACCTCTGTGTTAATGAGCCTCCTCCCTCCCTCCTGGGCCAGTTTCTGCCTCTCTCCGTCACGGTCACCCCAGGTGCTCGGGAAGGGTGCAGGCCGGGGACCCAGCCGATGCCCGACTTCGAGGTTGTCTGGGGTTTGCTGCGAGTGGGCCGGGCCTTGGGCTGGAGGGTCTCAGAAGTGATGTGGGCCTTCCAGGGCATCCTGCTGGGTCGCCACCTGCCCCTTCCTGGAAGCCGAGGTCGGCCAGGCCTCTCCCCTGTGAGATTATGTCAGCAGCCAGTTCTTATCAGGTTTCGTTTTCTTCATTTGTACATTTATACCCATATGGATTCACGGATTTCTGTTTGATTCACTGTGCTGTCATCTGTCATGATCTGTCAGTTACCACCATCGTAACAGACTGCGAGGTCACTGGCCCAGACTGGGCAGCCCCCTCAAGCTGGCTCCTGTGTCCTTGTGTGACATCCCCATCTCTTAGTGATTTGGACACTTTTTTAGGGGGAGGAGGTACTGTGGATTGAACCCAGGGGTCTACCACTGAGCTACATCCCTGAATCTTTATTTTTTATTTTGAGGTAGCAGCTTGCCAGGTTGCTGAGGCTGGCCTCCGACTTGCAATCCTCTTCCCAAAGCCTCTGGAGTCACTGGGATTATAGGCGTGTGTCACTTCTTTTTTTGTTGTTATGACTTGAACTCAGGGACACTCGGCCACTGAGTCACACCCCCAGCCCTATTTTGTATTTTACTTAGTGACAGGGTCTCACTGAGTGGCTTAGTGCCTTGCTAAATTGATGAGGCTGGCTTTGAACCTGGGATCCTCCTGCCTCAACCTCCACAGCTGCTGGGATCATAGGCGTGCGCCAGGCGCCCGGCATCACTTCTAAGAAACTCCTGGTTTATCTTGTCCTCTCCTCCCTGAACCCCTCCTGGGTCATCTCTCCAAGGAGCTCCAGGTGTGGACCTAGGGCTGCAGGAGGACTGTGACAGGGACGGGAGGGACCCAGAGCTCTGACACCTGCGTCAGGACTCATTGTGCTCTTGGCGCTCGGCCCACTGAGCGAGCAGCCTTGGGATGCCACGTTCTTGTCCCGGGGTCACTGCTGCACAGTGTGACCTGGGCTTGGCTCCCGGAGGTTTTCTGGGAAGATCGTGGTTATTCCAAAAAGCAAGGAAACCGTAACGGAGCCAGACTGGAGCTTTGTGAAATCTGACCTCTGCCCTCGGTAGGATTTGCTTTGGGTCTTTATCAAAGCATTTGCGGGTCCTAACAGGGCTGCAGACAGAGGCCAGAACCTTCTGGATCCTGCCTTGTTGCCTTATGTCATTCGACACTTGTTTTCAAGTGACTTCGGTGTCACCTGCTGGTCTGCTTTTCCGTATGATGGACGCCAGCCGTGTCAACACCCCAGGCTTTGTGGGTCCCACTGTGTGCCAGCAGCAGCCTGGCACCTTCTTGATCAGGGAAAACAAAAATTCTGAATGCACTTCACTTTTTGGAGGAGCTTTAGATTTGTGTAACATTGAGAAGGTGGCTCAGGGTCCTCCGAGCCCCCCATGGGAGGCCTCCCTGCTTAGCATCTCACACAGTGTGGTGCTTCGTCACTGTAAACAGTGGCGTGGTCTCCTTGTTGTTAGTGACACCCACACTTCATCACGCTCACTTGGCTCATAAGGTGCCACCACCCCCACCTTTAGTCCTCTCCTCGGCTCCGGTGGCCCAAGGCTCAGGCTTTCCTTGACCTTGGTGGCCTGCAGTTTGCAGGCGGTGGCCAGGCATTCTGCAGGATGTCCCTGTGGCTGGGCTTGGTCTGATGTTTTTCTTGCAGCAAGCCCGGGCTCTGGGTGTGGGGGAGGAAGTTCACAGAACAGAGGGCCACACCCAGGGTCCAGGGGCTTGGCCTGACTTAGCCCGGGCCACTGCAGGCCGAGAGCCCCCCCCTTCATCAAGCCTTCAGGGGCTGCAGGTCTGTCCCACTTTCCAGATGAGGAGACCAGGCTCAGAACAGTGAAGTAAGCTGCTGCCCTCCGCCCAGGTGGCCCCGCGGGGGTTTGGCTGCCTTTCAGGTGTTTGTTAAGTACCCGCTGTCCTCTGCCTTCTGGTTCTCTTTAGGACTTCCTGAGGGTGTGGTCCCCAGAGAAGGTCAGTTGGGCCAAAGGGCTGAGGTTCACCACAGATGGCTCTTAAAAAGACGAAACCCTTTGGGCACAGTGGCCCCCGCGTGATCCCAACTCGGGAGGCTGAGGCAGGAGTTTTGCAAGTTCAAAGCCAGCCTCATCAATTTAGCGAGGCCCTAAGCAACTCAGCAAGACCCTGTCTTTAAATAAAATATCTTAAAAAGGGGTTGGGGGTGTGGCTCTGGGTTAAGCACTCCTGGGTTCAGTCCCTGGTACCAAAAACAACAAACCCGTTCACAGGGCATGGGCATCTCTGAGAGCCAGCTGGCCACCTCCTCCCCAGGCCGAGTTGGTTGCTTCTATTTATTTTGTCTTGTTACTTCGTTCCACACTTTTTTCTCCTGGCCATCCCCGAAGCCTTGGCAGCAAACATCAGCTGGCTGTTTACGAAATTCCAGATTACTCTCAGGAGAGACATTGGGCTCCGTTGACATCATTTTTTAAAATATGCCTGAGGCCAAAGAGTATCAAAGTCGTGACTTGGCAGTGGATGGCATCCCCCTCGAGGTCCCAAGCTGTGACCTCCGGATGTGACACCCCCACCCCCATCCCCACCCCTCCCCCCAACAGCAGTTACCAGGAAGGATCCTTCGCACGTGGGCTACATTGAGACTCTGCCTCGTTATCTTTGAGCCTCAGTCTGGCCCATTTCCCCGTCAGACACGGTCCACTGCTGACGGGCTTGTACACGAAGCCCCAGGAGCGCGTCCCAAAGCCACCGAGGGTCCTGCTGCACGGCCACACTGCAGTCAGATTGGCATTTTGTCTCGTTTGTTGGTTGGCCTGCACAGACGTGTCGGCGGGGATTCAGGGCTGCCGGGTTCAGAAAGCGTGTCCTAGCGGCACGGGATGACCTCTAGGCAGGTGGGCCACTGCGCAGGCCTGACAGCGCCTTCTGGGTCTCTGCAGGTGGCCTCTGTGGGGTCCTTCAGGGCTATGCTGGGCCTGGGTGGCCTGCTCTGTCGTGGACTCGATGGCAGGTGCCACCCCTGTGTTTCTTAGCTGGCCAGTGGGCCATTAAGTGTCAGGAGATTTTCAGCCATGACCCGGCCCCTGGTTCATGAGGGAGAACACCAGAGCTGGGGGCCCTTTAGAGGAGGAGGTAAGGGTTGTGCCCTGAGCCAGGTGCAATGGTGCACGCCCACCATCCCAGTGACTCGGGGGGCTGAGCAGGGGGATCAAGGGTTCAAAGCCGGGGCTGGGCTTGGGGCTCGCCTAGCACGTGCAAGGCCCTGGGTTCCATCCTCAGCACCACATAAAAATAAGTAAATAAAATAAAGATATGTGTCCAACTACAACTAAAAACTAAATATTAAAA